TCCATAGATAATTGAACAAAGTATCTTTGGCACAAACCCGGGTCGAAATGACCCGAACACGAAAATGGTTAAATCTCTTAAAAAATCTGACTGGTCTGATAGATGAGTTCCCAGAGACGCACGCGCTTTCCTCTGACATGCGCTGGAGCCGTAATCAGACGATCTGCCGCTGAAGTGTTTGCCTTTCTCCTCCAGTGGCACCTAAAAGCCCACAGAAGCGTCTCTCCCTGCGGCTCGGCCCCAGTTTGTCATGAATGCTTGTCGTCTGCTCGCGGGAACAGAAGTCTCCATCTGGAGCCTAGAGAGACGGATCAGTCTGACGCAGAGCGCTTTGTTTTCTGTCCATCTTTAACCCCGTCTGGGTTTGAGGGCCGAACCCGTCACACGCTGGAGAGGAACGTGAGAGCAGGCGGTGCAATGAGGAATAGGCCTGTTGCAATAATCAATATATCGACTTATCGCACAATATATGTACATGACCTCAATCATTTTTGGTGACGCAATATATCGCCCATTATATTTACTTAAAAATTAATGTCACCATGTTTTGTACATTCCACTTGTACCTGTGTCTTTATCAGCTTCTTGTACATAACGTGGTGTAGTCATGAGGTGCTAGTTCAAATTTTAAAAATGCTTCTACAAACAAAGTTTCATCTGCAGATATGGCCTTGTTTAGGGATCTGACGGACATCTGACTGCTGAGTAGTGATTGTGTTTCTCAGCAATAGTGTGCACCCTTAATTTACAGAGAAAAGAAGGTCAGAGGAAAATCTGTAGATGGAAAAATCTCCATGTTCTTTGTGCATTTTTCTGTTTTTCTACTTGTTACACTCTTAAAAATAAAGGTGCTTCACGATGCCATAGAAGAACCTTTTTGTCTAAATGGTTCCATAAAGAACCTTTAATATCTGAAGAACCTTTCTGTTTGACAAAAGGTTCTTTGTGGCAAAAGAAGGTTCTTCAGATTACAAAAAAGTAAGAAAGAGATGGTTCTTTAAAGAACCTTTGACTGAATGGTTCTTTGTGGAACCAAAAATGGTTCTTCTATGGCATCGCTTGAAGAACCTTTTGAAGCACCTTTATTTTTAAGTGTACTTTGCACTTTTTGTTAGAAAATGTTTATTTACTATTTATTCAGGTTTTTTAAGGTATCTAATATTTTGATACTTAATTTGCATGATCTAAATATTCTTAAAAATTACAAGTTTGTTGTCATTTGGAAGTGTGTAGGCCTTCTTGCATTATTATGCTGTTACATTATGATTATATATTCTGTGGCATAAAATGATCTTTAAAATGACAATAATATCACTTATCACAATTATTTTTGGGGCAATATATCGCACAACAAAAGTTGTTATCGTGACAGGCCTGACGAGGAAAACACGAGACACGAGTTTAAAAGCTGAACTTCTGTTGTGTTGAGCGCCGTGTCTTTAGTGAGACACTTTTCTTTTTCCTTTCTTTTTTCATTTGTTTGCTTTGAGTCCTTTTCTCTTTCTTTCTTTCTTTCTAATTTTTATTTCATTTTATCGTTTTGTTTGATTTTTGTTCTTTTGCTCTTTATTTATTGATTTCGGTTTTCTTTAATTCTCTATTATTTTTCTTAGTTTTTTCATTGGTTTTATTTCATTTGTTTACATTTTTCTTTCTTTATCTATCCTTTTTCTTTTTTTCCTTTCTAATTTTTATTTCATTTTATCGTTTTGTTTGATTTTTGTTCTTTTTCTCTATTTATTGATTTTGGTTTTCTTTAATTCTTTTTATTTTTCTGTTTTATTTCGTTAGTTTTGTTTGATTTGTTTACAATCTTTCTTATTGTTTTTCTTTTGTTTTTTTATTTGTATTCTTTGTCCCCAATTTATTGTTTTTCTGTTTTCGTTCTTTTTATTTTTATATTTTATTTTTTATATTTTTGTTCATTTTTTTTCTCGTTTTTTCATTTTTTTTGTTCTATTTATTTATTTTATTTGTTTAATTTAAATTTTTTTTGCACGAGACACAAGTGTCCGTCTAGCTCACATTTATACAGAAAAACAATGGAGAAGCAGCTACGCAGTAGTAAAGAAATACTGTTGATTTTTGAGATGCACGCGTATAATCTGATATTTCTGTTGATTAAAGCACATGATCATCTTCAGTAGCTGTATTTTGAACTCTTATTTCTAGTGAAGGGTGTTTTTCAGAATCGTGTTGTTCGGTTGAGATTGTCTTTATTAGCTGCTTTAACGACTCGTTCGGTTTCAGTTAGTGCTGGGCGGTATGACCAAAAATGTATATCACGGTATTT